CTATAAAAACATATTACAATCTCTAACAACAATTATGTGCCGAGTTTCGTGCCTGGGCGAGACTTCCGGGGCGATATATTGTGATTACAGACACACACACACACACAGCCGCGTTTATTATTATGTATATAGATATAGATACGACAACGAAATTGAGTGAGGAAAAATTTTTCCTAAACATTGTAGAATGTTCCCTTATAAATCAATTTCCACATCAAACAAGCATCGGCAAAACAATATTTGCAGTGACATTAAAACCTGTGAGATTGACATTAAAACCTTGATGTGTTTCAAAATCTAAAAACCTGAGAACCCAACCAGACCATTTAAATAAATTAATTAAAAAGTTAGATTTGAATAAACACTCACTCCATAAGTTTTTTGCCAGATTCTGTTTCTGCTTTCCGCCACATGTCGTAAGAATAAGGCATCATCTCCGCAAAAAAACTCTGTCCATAGCTAGATCTAATAATACGGGATTCGCCTGAAGAACTACCACGAGTATGTGATTGGCTAAACTATAACAAGAATTTCACTTTTATGAATACAGAGAAAAGCAAAAGGGACACACAATAAAAACAGTCTTCACTGAGAAAAAAACTACAGTCAAAACTACCAGAAAATGGTACATTTTACGTTGTTTCTGGCTGCAGTTTTAACCGAAGTGCTCTGGCAATGATTTTGGTAAAATTAGTATCAAAATATTGCGATGCGTGATACAGTTTGATAATTTTATAATGATACCTAAGAGCATCACATAAAAATTCCTTATTTGTTTAAATTTACTACTAAATTTTGTATTTTATTTAAATGTCTAATTCTGATTTTGAAAGTCGGAATTTTCGGTGAGCCGTTACCATAAAAACTGAAAAGTTACCAAATGAATGTTTAAATAACTAATATTTTGATTTTATTAACCAAGACTACGGTTTTCATTTTTAACAGACATGTCAATACTCAACAGTACAATAATTTCAACAGAATCTCGCTCTCCAAACTGCAGCTCCCCCCTTATTTCGGGGATCAAAATTTTCCAAATCCGTTAGAAAAACAATGTATGTTTGTTCTGATTAAATACGTTTTTGTATCTGATTTCGTAACTTAAAATTACGTCTGCACTAATTAGTTTGCAGATATGAGGTCACTCACTCGAGCCATTAAGATGGGAGTCCTAGAACGGGAAGATCCGACTGATCATTAGTTAAAAAGTTATTCAGGGTAATCCATTTTTTTTGTGCACCAAATTCGTTGTGGATCGGTTAAGAATTGCGGATTTGCATAAGGCACATGTATAAATATACATAGAAACGTCCTGCTTTACCTATAAATTTATTTCTCTTACAATGCATCGAAAACGCGGATATTTCTTTTTCTAAATTTGTGAAACTGTAGTCATTTTGTGATAATTAATTTTGTTATTTGATTTATATAATAATTTAATCCTTTCGCGACGAGTTTTTTTTTTTTTTTTTACAACAGAACAATTTTGGTAGCATAAACTATGAGTAGGGCAGCATTATGTACGGTAGTACCATCTATGTTCTGTGAATGAAAATACCTTCAAAAATATTGGCAGGATTGGTGGGAAAGTCTGCAATTAGACAAAGAAGCGTTTTTGTCCCAAAAGATCTTTTTGAAATTTGCTTGGGACTTATTTGTCCCGTTAGGTGCGAAATGGTTAAACAGTGTTAATAAATTAACTATAAGTTCAGTATTTGTTCAGTTGATTCATTTTGTTAAGTTGTAAGTAATAGTTTAGTGTTGAATAGTTAGTTAAATACGTTTTTTTTAAAGAAAACTTTTGTATCTCACAGAAATAAAAACTTAGTTGCTAAGTAAATCTTACTATATATAAAAATCTAATGATGGTGTCGCAGCGCAGTTTTCCATTGCTGTCGGTGCATTTTTATTGGCCAGAAAATCACGTGGTGTGATCCAGTTTTTCCTCATTATTTTCCTTTTTGTTTTGGTTGTAGTCAGCATAAAATTAATAAAAGTCATAAAGTTCTTGCTTTTCTATAATTATTTTTGAATCCCTAACTTAAAGTTATTTTCCTGTACTGCTATTATTACGCTTTTAATTCAAGAGTTTAAAACTAAGAGAATTGCTGTTTTTTTATTATTATAATGTAAATCTGCCTTACATTTTAAGGTAAAGTTATTTAAAAAGGTGGTCTAATCTTATTCACCGTTTAATAATTATTATTTTAGTGCAAATAAAATTAATATACTGTTATAAATTACAGTTAAAGAGATCGGTTAAATGATTTAGAACATAACGATCAGCTTCATGCACAATGAGATGCAGGCAACAAAAAAAAAAAAGGTTTTTAATATATCCTTTCGTTTGGTAAGCGAAAATATTAAATTAAGGATGTGAACTCATGAAATTTGTTTCAACAATATAACGTTATAACAACATAAATGTTATTTAAAAAAAATATTACTTAGAAAAATCACTTCTGTTTACCAATAGATCTAAATATCTAATATATATAATTCTCTTACGTGGCTCCCAAATTTTGGCTTTATTTCTTTTCCGCCGGTGGCAACGTTTGCTTTGTTTTGTTTACGTTACTATTTCTGTTACACGGTGAATCGACCTATGATTGCCGCTAAAAATGTCACATGCCAAATCTATCTGAGGTGACTCAACATATAGCGCTTTTAAAAACGGAAACTGAAATAACCAGAGA